TGCCTTCATTCTCGATTAAATAATAGTCTGTTTAGGTTTTAAAAACAACACGACTGCATCGGAATGGAAAAGTTTTCGCCTTCCAGATTAGTGAACGAATGTTGTTGCACTATACAGAACTTTTTCTCCACATTTCAGCACCGCTCCTAGGATGCCTAGAGTAGTTCAGGTCTCAACTGCGAGCTTATTCTTGAAGCTGTGAATAGAGCTTGTTGTGGCGGTTCAGTAGCGGTTTTGTAGATTGCAGACGAGACGAATAGTCCAACCGTTTACCTTGGTTATAGACACAAGTATAGTGTTTGGGGCTACGCCCACGCCTCGAAGAGTGGGAGGCGGGGAGTAGAGGGGAGAGGGTCATGGCCATCGTGGCGATGACAGAGCTGACTATGGATCTCGTACTCGTACTGTATTTCGTTCAGAGAAACTATGCTTGTCATTCATTCCTCGTATCGCATGAAACCAACAGGAAGCAAGCAGGCAGTGGTAAACACACGACAAGGAGGCTATACTGTCATCAGAACCATGTACAAGAATGTGGATAATTGAAACCACTACTCGAACATGGAAAGAAGCAGGGCATTTATCACGGAATGAATGCGGGACCTGTGAAGGAGAACACATGCAAAACTACACTGGTGTGCAAAACTTAGGGACGAGATGGATAAAGTAACATAAAACACTAATGACTGGGTGGAAGTAAATGAAAGTGTGGGAGCATGTTGCCACTCGCCTAAGGGATATGCACAGGAAGCTAGACTTTCTCTCGGTGGAAGAAGAGCTTGAATAAAGTGCCAAATATGGCCGACCGCGCAAATCGAGGCGTCTATGGGTATGAGAAAAAAATTTTTTTCTTAATCAACGAGTACCTACAAAGAACTGTGGTAGTATCCTTCGATACATCATGTCCCGAAGAGAGCATCTGGATGACTTCACTCGAGGAAGGATCATAGGGAAACTCGAAGAAGGTCGAACCATGACGAGTGTAGCCCAGGAGTTCGGTATCGCTCACAGCGTTGTTTCACGTGCATGGAGAGCGTTCCGAACCTTTGGTACTGCTGCCCGAAGACGAGGAGGTGGCCGACCAAGGACAACTACACCAAGGGACGACCGCTACACATTGTGCAGCAAGAAGAGATCTCGTCAGTCCGGCTTCGTGCTAATTGCAACGACGTTAACGGACTCTAGGAAGCCATCTCACGCACTACAGTGGCAAGACGACTGCATGGTGGTCTCTTCGCGACGACCGTTACGTTGTGTTCCTTTGACCCCCGCGCATCGGCGAGACCGTTTACGGTGGTGCCAGGAGCATGGCGAATGGACCGATGAGGAATGGAGCCGTGTGCTCTTTTCGGATGAGAGCAGGTTCAGTCTGAGCAGTGATTCTGGACGCACCCTCATATGGCGAGAGGTGGGAACACGCAACTCCCGGAAACATTGTCGAACGTGATCGTACTGGTGGTCGAGGTGTTATGGTATGGGGAGGCATCATGTTGCATGGCCGTACTGACCTCCAGATTTTGAGCATAGGCTCACCAGTCACCGTTTTACTGCGTAACGAGGTTTCCTACATCATGTCCGTCTTTTCAGAGCTGCAATCGGTTCTGACTTCATTTTCATGGATGACAATGCGCGACCGCATCGAACAGCACAGGTGGAGGAGCTTCTAGAACGAGAGGATATCCGGCGAATGGAGTGGCCCGCCGTTTCCCGACCTAAATCATCGAGCACGGTGTGGCTGCATGGGTAGACGCATTGCAGCACGACAAATGCACCAATGACGATCCAGCAATTGTCAAATGCACTGATTGAGGAGTGGAATGCCCTGCCCAGGAACTCATTACCAACCTCGTGGAGAGTATGGGATCGCGGTGCAGAGCATGTATTGCTGTCCGTGGTGATCACACACCTATTAGGAATCCGTTTTACTTCTTTTGTGTGGTTTTGTAGTGTAAGAGAGGATAAATCGGAAGACTTATGTGTTAATTCGAATGTTGAATAAAAATGTCATAATTCGTCTTATTCCGAGTTTCTGTCAGTTGCTTTCTGTACAATATCGTTAAGGTTCTCTCTTGATATGATATGAATTTCATCGAGCTATGTTGTCTGGCAGAGGCACAGTGATCGAAAGTTGCTTTCGTCCCTAAGTTTTGCACACCAGTGTATGTAGTTCTACTAATCTAATCAATTTTCGGGGAAGTCTCGTGACATTTTCATCTGGAAAATGCTTCACTTCAGTAATGTGCAAAGACTCCACTGCAATGTCATGAGGAATTCTGACCCAAACGTGGACTATTTTTGATGAGTGCCGTTGAAACCCAATTATACAAGTACATTTATAAATAGAAAAATGATTTATTGGAGCATCCAACGGACCTATAGTTTTTACGAACACATACTCTAACCATCGACACATTTCTACGAAGAACTAACTCTGGCAATCCGTTCTGATCCGCATGCAATCGTTCTAAATCTTTGGATCATCGCTTTATTAATCGCAACCAGTAACGTTCCTCCAACAACTTTCGACGCTGTTTGTCGTGAGATACCCGTGTTTGGCGTGCATGGCAGATTTTTTGCGGCTTTATTTGGGGGTACGTTTGTTTATGGTTGTCCCTACTGAAATGTACGTACTTCAAAATAGAAGATAGTGACGCTTCCATGAAGGTTGGCATGCTCTTTCTTTCCTGCAGCGAAAGACAGTTGAGTCTGTTGATGAATGCTTCCATTTCAAGGGGAATTAGAAGCGATGGTCCTGATTCAATCTAACCAGTTTGCTCGTCTGCATTTGAGCGTTTTGGGCGAAAGGAATGTTAGCTATCGACCTAGCGTTTTGAATCTTATCAGCGGAATGCTAGCGTTTTGAGCGAAAAGTATGGTGTAGGTGTCGATGCCAGATCGAGAGCGCAGACCTCACCCTTTTAGGTGCATATCTTTTATCTGACTGATTACTTACCATGGATTTGAGATGCGCTGCGGGAACTTTTCCTAAGTTTCTGCTGACAAAGCATGTCAACTTTATCTTCGTTGTTTCGCATGTTTTGCAGAAGTGACATCACTCATACTCAGTTATTATACAAAAACGATGTTGAATTGTGTTGTAATGGAGCCTTGTCGCAATGCATATTGCAGTTGATATATTCTACTTTTGATGTTTCTCCTTTGTGCTAACGAAGTTGTTGAGTGGAACCTTTTTCTAACGATCTAGTGTTTTGATTAGGTCGCTGTCCAGTCCATCAACACACGAGCGAAAAGCCGTAGCTCTGTTGTTTGTTGATATAACGTGCAACATAATGTAAATATAATTTATAAGTAAGATTTCAGTTTTGTGTACATGTCCCCTGTCTCTTGCCGAATATTACACCCAACAACTAATAGAGCAGCGCATTTTTGCTCATGTGCTGGAGAACTAAAGTGTGATTGTGAGGATGACGGTCTGATGGAGACCGTTAATAGAGAGTTTAACCTCAAAACTTCATTGGCACGAAAGAAAAATTGTCTCAAGAGTCAACATCAGTGGCATAGTGTTCGACGAGAGAGTTGAGAAGCGAATATCCGAGCTTTTAATTTTTTTTTCAGTATTGCGACATATATGAAACAACGGGTTACGGTATAGTAAAGGATGATGCTGATGAAGGACTCTTAGGAAAGGATAATACTGATGATGGAGTGTTAAAGTTCAA